GTGCAATTTGAAGCACTAACCAATTCCATGAATTTTTGAGCATTAGGAAACCATGCTTCTAAATCATATTTCTTGGACGCAGCATCATTCATCTCACCAGATGCAATCAGAACAGTTCTATATGGAATATCAAGTGATTCGTAGAATTCTTCAGCTGTACGCATCATCTTCTCATGATAGTCATTTGATTCTTCTGCCTTACAAATCACAAATTGTTCAATCTTCTCAAATTGATGAACTCTGAATATCCCTTGACTGTATTTCCCATGAGCACCAGCTTCCTTCCTGAAACAGAGTGATTCACCAGCGTACATTTTTGGAAGATCAGCATCTGTAAGTCGCCTATTCATGAATAGAGCAGTCAATGGTTGTTCTGATGTAGCAATTAAATAGAGTTCTTGATCAGTGATGTTGTACAATTGTTCATCAAAATCACTCAACTGTGCTGTTTTGCTCATGGCTTCTTTTCTCATCATCACAGGTGTCTGAATTGGAGTGAATCCTCTACGATGTAAAAATGTACCAGCGTATACTTTCAGGGCAGTTGCAAGTTGTGCCATTTTTCCACTTAAGAAATATCCTCTATGACCAAATACGGCTGATCCTGCTTCTGCATTGGTGAATGGAGCCATCAGCTCAGCAAATGGTAGTGAAGTGGTTGGAAGATTCTCATTGTGATATTCTCTCACTGTTTTGTTGCCATCTTCTGTCTTAGAGACTGGAACGTTTTCATCAAGAATGTTACCAATTGAAGAGAGTTTGATAGATAATTCGGATGTTAGTGATTCAATACGTCTACTGAGTTCTAACTTTGTCTCTTTCTGGTCTGACGTATCGTATTTCTTCAGAATAGTCTCTTTATCAGATGGTTTCTTCTTCAATTCAACTCCAATATTCTTGATTCTGGTGTTAATTTCCTTACAGAGATGTTCGTATTCATATTGTGCTTTGATTAGTTCTGCATCAACTTCTGCTACTCTAGTTACTACACTTACGTCTTTGAATCTCTTCCTTTCACTCTCTTTTACTCTTTCAAGATCTTTTTCATTTCTAAACAAACTAATGTCTAACATGAATAGGGTAAGTATTTAAAGGAAGAATGGTGATGAAATAGTATTGTAATTTATAGACGGTGTATGTGGTTGAGAGCAAGACTATGACTACGCTTTCGAGTGTTCAAAAGAAGTCTTTATTTTTCAGGAAATATGAAAAGTGACAGAAAGAATTATGAAAGCCAAGTAGAAAATTGAAGTTGTACCTTCTTGTAATAATGCTATTTGCTACGGTTTTGTGGTGTGTAACGTAGATTTATAGTAGATCTTAAGATTCAGCCAGGTCAATTCAATAGTAATGTATCAGGTCTAAGAACCTGATATTATTACGTGTAAAAACGGATTAGTTCTAAAATATGTAATAAATAGCATTGGCACACACTTATGAGATAGAATACTTACAATTTACGACGTTTCTTTTTGTTCTTCTTTGTGAGCAGATTCTTTAAACCTAAATCCAATATGCGATATTCCTGGCAGGCAACAGTTGCTGCATACGCACTGTATAAAACTTCAGTAGCCAATCCGATATTAAACCTGGAATAATTTGAGCCTATTGCTATAAATTCCAGACCAATAGTGTAATTAAAATTGCTTCAAGAGTGAATATCATAGCAATAGTCACCTTTCTCTGCTTTTTTGATTCTTCGTTGATCCTGCATGTGAGGGTAACTATCAATGCACTTTCTAATACCAAATTGATCCATAAGAGTATTTGGTATCCAGTGTATCCGATGATAGATATGCTAACCACTAATGATTCAATTTCCCTTTCAGGTATTCTAAGAGAATACAAGCTTAAAAGTCGAACGATTGTGTTTGAAAGAATAATCAGGTATCCAAGGCATAGTGCTGTAAGTCTGTTCCTCCTTCGATATGCATCAATTAATTTTGGGTTTCTTGTTAATGTTGAAATGTATCCTGTTGATACAAATCCAATTCTTTTGTAGAAAGTTAGTNTTGATCCATAAGAGTATTTGGTATCCAGTGTATCCGATGATAGATATGCTAACCACTAATGATTCAATTTCCCTTTCAGGTATTCTAAGAGAATACAAGCTTAAAAGTCGAACGATTGTGTTTGAAAGAATAATCAGGTATCCAAGGCATAGTGCTGTAAGTCTGTTCCTCCTTCGATATGCATCAATTAATTTTGGGTTTCTTGTTAATGTTGAAATGTATCCTGTTGATACAAATCCAATTCTTTTGTAGAAAGTTAGTAGAAATATTGTTTCTGATATAATTGCAATACATAGCAGGGTGTCCTGTGGCCTAAAATTTTCAGCCAAAATTGTTATTTCGGGGTATTTTAGGGCATTTAATAAAAAGGTCACGCACATTTACCCCTTTATTTTACCCCTGGTTATTTCATTACATGATATGACCTTTTTTGAAATCGAATAAAGGGGTAATATTTGAAATCGAATAAAGGGGTAACGTCTCAAGTGCGATAAAGGGGTAATACTTCAAATCAAATAAAGGGGTAACAGCTCAAGTGTAATAAAGGGGTCAGCCTTTTTTTAGAAAACGAAAAATGCTATACCGCTTAGGAAGTGAATAAAGGAGAGATATATTTCTTGAAATTCAATAGAACAACTATGCCAAAAATTAAGAAGAAGATTCGCATTTTGAATAGCCGGATACATCTAGTTAAATTGTACAATGCCAAATGTAGTCAAGCATCGATTATTTACAACCTAAAACGATGAGCTATAGTATTGCCCAATGGAATAATTCTTGGTAAAAGGCAACAATATCCATTTATACTGAGCTACTCATACTCTTAAAACGATTTAATACCATAATTCCCACACATCACTTTCTGTTTCATGTTTTGACAGAAACTTTTCATCCGTATATCGCTGAAGTACTTGCCTGACTCTTTTTATTGCAATGCGCCGTGAATTCTTTTGCAGTAGATGATGTAGTTTATATTGCTTTGCAAAACGTTTGATCTCTACTAGCACGTCTTTCAAATGGAACAAATTTCCTTCTGCTTCTTGTTTGATGAGGGCAAGGAACTCTTCATTTTTGTCACCTAAGATGTGTGAATCATAGTTGCACGAATTTCCTAGTATTTGTTCAGTATGTTGATATGAGACATATTTCGCTTGTATCTTGCTAAAGATGTTATCATGTATTATCTTATAGTCTTCAAAACAACCATTCTTGATGNTTTCCTAGTATTTGTTCAGTATGTTGATATGAGACATATTTCGCTTGTATCTTGCTAAAGATGTTATCATGTATTATCTTATAGTCTTCAAAACAACCATTCTTGATGGAATGCTTAGCTTGTTTATAACAATCATACATATGTGCAGTTTCAATCAATTCGTTAAATACAAATAAGTAACTATAGAAATTGATTGAATCATCCTGGAGATTGAGATATCCCTCAAAATAATCATCATCTGGCATGGTGGTATATGTTCTGTTGTAGTAGATAAATTGGAGATAAAGCAACCTAATAACATCAGTTGAGCGATTTTGGATGCGGAATCCAAGGTGTAACAATATCTTGTAGAACGTTTTGAAAGTATATCTTTCAAAATTCAAGTGTTTGATGAAAGATATCACTGACAGTTCATTCCTCCTATACTTAATTGAACGCAAGAAATGCGCATTTTTTCCATACCGATAATATGATTGTTCTGGAAGGTAAGCATTAGGGCAACCCGGAAAAGTAAACAAAGGCAAATAACACCAGCTAGCAAACATGACACCATAAAACACTTGTAGGTAGCTTTACCTCAATGAAAGACGTAGTACTTTCAAAAACCCAAGCAAACAGGTTTGTTTCAGAATGTTTACAAAATGGGGTTTGGTGATTTCTGTTTATATTTATGTCAATAAAGATTACGTCCAATTCAAAAACCGTACTATATTAATATGATGTTAATAGGTAATGTGTAATATATAAGTGTTACCTTGTAAATGAGGGTAGTAAAGTTTTTATCCAAACCTAGGCAATGAGCGCTTAGGATAAATGTGGCCGAAAAAATAATGGTTTTACCCCTGAATACAATTTTTCGTCATGCGCACGTAATAGAACTATACCTCGGTATGTTTGTCCAGAATTTATGAGATTTTAAAAAATAATATTTCTCATCACATTTTATTGTATCTGATCATAACGTAAGCCTCAAAGTTGGCCATGTCGAAATTTCGATC